AAGCTACTGGTGTGAAGTGTAGTTAGCATTTGTACTTACTTTTAATATGTATCTTTGTTGTATTATGGTTTTCAAATTGCACGAAAGGCTCTCAGCACTGCATATAGTGCTTATTATGAAAGTATATCCTCTCATTACTAGTGAATTCCTTAGCATTAATGTAAGTGTGTTCTCTAGTGGCAATTTCTGGGGATTGTATTATTAAGTAATTATACGACTATGAGGGTAGACTGAATAGCCTTTTCAAACTCAGTTGGAGACTTGGAACCTCACCGTGGGGGATTTCTTTGCTGCTTTAGTGCTTAGGATCCTATTAGCCAGGCTCATATAGTGGATTAAGGTTTGACTAGGTTTTATTTTGATCCATGACTAGATTTAGCTTAGCCTAAATGTGTCAAAGATAAGACCTTTTTATTTTTTCCTACTCCTGTCTTTCAATAAACTAAAGATTTGGGGATAAATTCCTACAATATTGTATTCCTTTTGGGTTAGTGATTATTAAGCATAACTGGAATAATAATACTGTAATACAAAAGCATGTGGTATTTGATCTGCACGTAAGAACTAACATTGAGAACTTGCTGAACTCTCACTGCGGTGTGATTGACAGAGTCTGATAGCTTTGGGTTGATAGGATTGGATTTATTCTTCATGGCTTTCTTTGTTAAAGAGTTAGTGCTTGAAAGTCTATATCTTGAATTAATGTTTTTGACAACTTGTATTTCTGTGTGAACTTTTAAGAAGTTTATGACGTATATGGCAAGCAACTGTGAACAAACTTCTAATAAGGCATGTCGTATGCATATTATCTCTATAAGATCTGTATCTCGTGGATTGATTTCACTACCTAATATTAATTATATCAGATATATGCACTCCTAGACTGAAGTATCAATTTGTTTCTCAGATACCAAGAAGCGTCGAAGACGCCCTGGCACATTGGTTTGCTATAAAAAGAAAAAGAGGAGATTGCTTCCATATGTTCCAACTGATGATCTAGCTCAAAGGTTGGAACAAATGGGTTCTCTTGCTAGAGCTTTGACTGCATTAAAAATGGAGTTCAGCAACGATTTGACCTACGTGCCTGGGATGGCTCCAAGATCTGCTAATCAGGCAATATTGGAAGATGGAGGAATGCAGGTGCGAGCTCATCTTTGCCACTTATATTCATTATGAGAAACTGAAAAAAATCCCTCCTATTCACAAAATAATTAATACGAAGTCATTCAATTTATCTCTTTAATCCCTTACTGAAACTGAGCAGATCCTTATTAATTAAAAAGATTCATAGGAAATTTGGTGCGCTGATTTATCATTTTGCCTTTGTTTATTGTGTTTTGTTTTGTTATAGGTACTGTCCAGAGAGGATTATGAGACAGTAAAACACTGCAGAGCTATGCTCAGAAGAGGCGAATGCCCACCTCTATTGGTAGTTTATGACTCGTGTGAAGGGTACTTGATCTTGAGCCACATATTCTTTCATTGTTCTCAGTTTGAAGCTTGATTTTGTTTATTATGAAATGTGGATGCAGGTACACTGTTCAGGCTGATGCCCCGATCAAGGATATGACAATCTTAGCGGAATATGCTGGAGATGTGGATTTTATAAAAAATCGGGAACGGGATGACTGTGATAGTTTGATGACCCTTCTTCTCGCGAGTGATCCATCTAAGAGTCTGGTTATTTGTCCTGACAAGCGTGGAAATATTGCTCGGTTCATCAGCGGCATCAACAACCATACACCGTAAGCTCTTTTGTTTTCCTTATTTTGCTCTACCATTAGCCAATGTTTATGTCCAAACGAATTCTAGAAAAGGAATTTTGGGACTGCATTTTCATATAAAATAAAGAGGTTCACTGGAGTGCTTTTTTAATGTAGGGAAAGTAAGAAGAAACAGAATCTCAAATGTGTGAGGTATGACGTCAATGGTGAATGCTGTGTCCTTCTAGTTGTCACCCGTGACATTGCCAAGGGTGAGAGGCTGTACTATGATTACAATGGGTATGAGCACGAGTATCCGACTCATCATTTTATCTGAAGACTCCTGCACAGAGGCTATCGTCTAATTTGGAATTCAGAGACATCCCTGTAGTTTCGCCAGCTCTATAGGCTATCGTCTAATTTGGAATACAGAGACATCCCTGTAAGTTCACCGGCTCCATTTGAGGGTAAATAATCTTCAGGTTATCATTGATGCACAGCCAAACATTTTTTATTCTCCTTTTTTTTTTCCTTCTCTTAGCAAGCTTCTTTTGCTCCCCCTCTCTAATTTTAAGTGAAAGAAATTTATCCAGCCAAATTTATTAGATTTTCTAGGGTATTTTAGAGGTCCACAATGTGGACTTAAGAGAACTATAGAGCAGCAAATTGTTTTTTTTTTTTTTTTTTTTAAATATAGGATTCTGATTATGATGGATGGTCTCTGGCTGGAACTCAATTTTAATGACCATCCTGATTTCGGACCACAGGAAAAAATGAAAATGATTCATTTTTCATTCTAATCTCAATTTTCTCTTTATGTATTAATTTCTGTGATGCATTTCCATAGTATTATCTTCGCTTACTGTACCTGCTGTAGTTAGCACATCCAGATAATTTACTTATATATGTTCATGCATGTGTGGTTTTTGGTGCATTAAGAGGTCAATACAATGGTATCGATGTAGACAGGATTCAGTTCCACACCCCAAGAATATACCAACTTAGCTAGTCGGCATTCACTGTGTGTATGTGTCTGTATTAAAAGGGTGTCTGGCAGTCTGGTTTTCAACACATTGCAGTCTTTGCAGATCTTGGGAGTGTCTCCTTTAGGTCTAATTGAAAATCTCGAAAGCTAGCCTAAAGGGTCCAAGTCTCATAGGATCGATCCATGGCAGCTTGGGTGAACATTGCATACAACTTCATGGCTTCGTTTAAGGGTCATGAATGGTGCATGCAGTGTTTGCAAATTGTGCTTGACTTTCAAGCCTTGTGCAAACACTGCACACACTATCCATTCATGACACTAGAGTCTAGGACTTGCAAAGGCTACAATGATGTACCGTTTAGTCTGGATCCGGGTCTGAGCCCATTAGCCGAGAAAATGGTGCACTAAAAGGTTGGGTTGGGCCTTAATTAGGCCATTATAAAGAGCCCACTTACTTTAATGAGTTTTGCTTTATGCCTAATAAATTATGGTGTGATCAAACCATAATAATGTCAATTTTAGAGGTTTAACCATTCGGAAACTTTTTCCAACACTTAGTCCAATCTTATTACAACTTTTATAAGTACATAGTCACATACTCTCTCATTGGTTGCTTTTGATAAAAGAAAAAAAAAAGGTTAAATACCTTTCTTTTTCATCTTTTAAATTTTTTATATTGAAAATTTTCACTAAACTTAGTTACTTTGATCATAAAGCAAAAAAAACTTTGACAAGTAGAATTATGTTGTCAAAATATATCGAGTTAATAATAAAAAGTTAAAGTGGGACAATTTATAATAAATACTAGTGGTATTTGACTATTTTCTATATATCTTTTGCATATAAATCAAGCTTTATTTTTTTCGCTTGATCCACCAAAATTTAGATACGCACCTATCAAATTATCCTAGGTAACATTGTCAAGAATTTTGCATAAATAAAATTGAAGAACAAAAAAGAGAAAATTAAGACCAAAACAAGAAGAAAAATCCAAAGACACAAAGATAAAAAGGACGGACCAAGTTGGTTGAAAACTTAAAATGTTATGTACGAATTCAATTTGCACGAGGAGGTTGTTTGCAGCTGAACTGAATAAACGGGCTCATAAATTCTGATTTTTCTAAGGAAATGTCATTTTTTTTTGGCTACTTCACCTAATATGTAAAGTTGTAAACCATAGGTTTTTTTGCACATTGTACTCTTCTTTTGGCTCCAAAATTTTGGATAGACATTGAAGTTATGTCTTATGTGGAATTACTATATTAAGGAAAAAAAATTATGTTTCGTCTTCAATGTAAAAGCCAACAATGAAGCTAGCAAGATTAATGCAATAATGCACTCCCGTTTGAATTTAGTTATCTCGATATAGATATTATACTATACATATTAAAGTAATTGACTACTAGTTTTAAAATAGAGATTTTGTTATCAAATTAGAAGTGTGATTTGTATTTTTACTACAATTGCATTAATACTAAGAAGAATAATTTTTTGAATAAAAGAAAACTCATCATAATTTAGAGGGGGAAAAAAAATCCAATCGTGAGAGTAATATTTCTATTAATAAGCGTATTTTGGTTAGCAAAAATTAGTTGTAAAACTTTTTAACTACTCTGTAATGAGTACGAAGTGTATACAAATGCCTTCAAAATTAAAATAAATACTTAATCCACCCAATATTGTTTGTTAATTGTCATTACTTTCACTCAAAATGTTTTGTTAATTATTAAAGAGCTTGGATTACTATATTCGATGTCTAAGAGGTGCCCTTCAATCTCTAATTTAATCTTCCAAACTTATCGAAACACTTTTCAAAACTAAAAATAAATACTCTTGACGTGTGTTAATGATATAAATAATATTTGATTTTTTTTTTTGAAGCAAATTATATTTGAATATTTGATCACAAGTTTAAAATCCTAGTCTTTAATTCTTTACATACTTCTATTCAAAAAAAAAAAAAAAAAAAATTCTTTACATACTTAGCTAAGATAAATGACATTCATAAACTGAATATATACCTTCAATCCACTTAACTAATTTCAATATATATATATGTGGATTATGTAACACTTTCTATAATAATGATGCTAAAAACAAAAACACTTAACTAATTTTCAATATATATATATATATATATATATATATATATATATATATATATATATATATATATATATATATATATATATATATATATATATATATATATATATATATGTGGATTATGGATTTATGGATAAATTCAAAAAAATTATGGATTTTTTTTTTTTTTGAAACAAAAAAAAAAAATTATGGATTATGGATGACATCTATATATATGTGGAATAATAAATTGATCCCAAGGAATAAATAAGGTTTATCCCAAATAATAAAATCCAACTTTACTTTCTCCAAAGATTAGTGACTGTTTATTTATTTTTGAAAAACCAAAGGATATTCCGCAAAATTCCCCACAATGACCTCATCTATCACCACTTGACCGTAATTGTAGCTTAGCTCTCCACACCTCCCACCATCACCCCCATCTCTCCCTACAAATACCCACCAAATTATTTGAATCAAACAATAATTATAATTATACTACAAATTAAAGTAAGAAATTTATAATATTTTCCTAACAAAAATATAATGGGTAGTTTAGAAGAAGAGAAGCTCTTAGAAATGGTTCATGATTTCATTGAATCATCCGACTCACAAACTTCTTCATCTCACAACTTTTATAATCCTCCTAATACCCATAAACATGCTCATTTTCTTCATTCTACAAGATTCTTCACACTTCAAGTAAGTCATTCACGTTGATATAGTTATAAATCAGTACTCATTCCGTCTCTAAATGTTGTTCTTATTTTAACGTGCTTGTCTAAGGAACAATATTTAGACACGAAAGGATTAGTTGTGTACATATATATTTTTTCTAATTATATTTATGATTTTTTTTGTTGGATCATATTAGGAGATTCTAAGGAAGAAGACAGGAGAAGAAAGAGATATCCTTGAAAGAGTAGAGAGGCTTATGAAGAACAAAATGGAAATGGAGAAAACAAGTCGAGTAAAGAAATGGGTTGTGAAGTGTCTTAAGTTGGAGGGTATTTGTGCTTCACTTTGTCACACTTCTTGGGTCACTACCCCTTCATGTCCTTGTGGTAATTTACTTTATCACTCATCTCTTCCTAATTACTTGTAATTAAGTGTTAATATTTCCTTCGTAATTAAGTGTTAATATTTCCTTTCATGTATGTGTCATATTACGACGTTATGACATCATTGTTGATTTATTAGCAAAAGGAAAAAAGTTTTAATAGCTTCAAGTAATTTTAGTTAAATTTGGTATTTTATTAAGTTTTGAATTATGCGAAAATTTGGATAGTCCAAATAAACATAGATCATACTATCCATACCCAAAGATTGATCTCAAAAAAATGTGATGGGGCCTTTTGGTATTTGCTCCTTATTAAACCTCTATGATGCACATAAATTGCAACAATATATACGCCTTTATTTAAATGCACCTAGATCTATTTGAATCCGATCGAGTTTATATTATAAGAATTATTGTGTAACATCATACTTCATTTTGTTAATTTGTAACAATATTCTTTAATTAGTTTAGTAAGATAACTTTTTTCATCCCACTAAATTATGTTTCGTATACCTTTTTAATCCTAAGGAAAAAAAGTAAGACTTTTACCTTTCGAGTACATTTAATAATGCCAATTAGTTTAGTAATCAATGATATGATGTGATTTGACTATACTTTCATTATTCATAAAATTTGACAATTTGCATACCTTTACAAATTATCTATAGTGTTTTGTTTAATTAAGTTTCATTCTAGATTTCTATTGTAACTCTTCCTTTTCTATGAATTAACAGGAAACTATGAATATATTGAAGTATGTAAGGGAGATGATGCAAAAGGAAGGTCACAAAAACTAATAGTGGACATTGATTTCAAGTCTCAATTTGAAGTAGCAAGGCCAACTCAAAGCTACACACAACTCACAAGCAAACTTCCAATAATATTTGTAGGAAATGAAGACAAGTTAAACAGGATAATTTCTCTCCTTTGCTCAGCTGCTCAAGAATCCCTCAAGGAGAGAGGCCTCCACATCCCTCCTTGGAGAAGGCCCACTTACATGCTATCCAAATGGAAACTCTCGAATTCCACCTGTTATAATAATCTATCCGTCTCTATCTATTCTTCCTATTTATCAGAATCTATTCGAGATACTAATAACATTAAAGTAGAAAGATTAAACTGGAATGAAGAGAGTAATAGTAATAATAATAATTGTAATTATAGTAGTAATTCGAGATTAGAGAAGTGGGACCCACAAAATGTGAAAGGGAGAAGGGGAATGGGAGGTGGGGGGTCAGGATTGTCCAATCAATTTTCCAACTTGAGCATCAATTGTTGCTAGTAAGAAGAGTGTTGTGGGTGTCCAATCAATTTTTGGGATTGTTATGATTCATAAGTTTTGTAAGAATATTGGTACATGTATATTAAAGAGTGAGACACATGAATAAAGTGATATTTCTTTATTTATCAGATTGTCACTATTGTCTGATGTACACAATTTTTTTGTAGCTAGAGTTTTATTATTAATAGATTATGGTGGATAGAATTTTGTAACTAGTCATCTTTCCATAAGTTAATTTATAGTATTGATGTGGTGATCAAAGCCCTTTGCATAAGATCAATAATTGAGACCCTATATCTTATAGTTTATTTAATGTCTCAAAGCCCTTTTGCATAGGTCAAGTAATCAAATAATGCTTGTACAAAGATCGAGCTATTCTAAACAATAATTAAAAGAATGAGCAAGAAGAATACAATCCCATCAATAATTGAGCTACTTTTTAAGATCAATATGTTATATAACAACAAGTAACACAAATATAATTGAGCTGTAGAGTTTTCTTATGATTGCTAGTGTGATAGAATAGTTTTTTATTTGGTTAAAAAAAATACATCATAATATTTAGTTTAGTTGTCATTCTATTGAGATAGGAATTAACATAGATTGTGATATGATATTATGAGAATAATATCATATGAGATATTATTGTGAAAAGATATACGTGAGATATATTCCTAATATATTTATATTAGGAAGATAAGATAATCAGGAATATTAGGGTTAGGTATTCCTATTGTCTATATATATTGTAATGTAGCCGAAGAGAATGAATGGGAAAATACAATGAGAAAATACAGAGAACTATTTTCCCTAATATTTTAACATGGTATCAAGAGTCTAGGGAGATCATAGGATGAACAACCTTAATCACGAGAGTTCGTGTGATAGGAGAGAATGAAAAATAAACCTTGATCACAAGAGTTCGTGTGAGAGGAGAGGATGAAAAACACGAGAATTCGTGTGAGAGAATGAGAAAAACCTTAAACACGAGAGATTGTGTGAGAGGAGAAGAAAAATATGACGGGTTCGAAAAGAAAGACGTTCTCATTGTATTGTGATAGATATTATAGGATTATGATAATATTTGTCGCAGAGTTAGGATATATTTGTATATATTTGTGATATAGTTTGTATTCTTATCATACTAGGTTTCCTAACAGGATTAGGACTAGTATTGTAAAACTATATATATTATTCAATGGTACACACTCCAACCCAAGGAGTTTTCCCGAAATCTAACATGGTATCGGAGCCAGCATGACATAAAGGTCACGGGTTCGAATCTCATCCACCTCTCCTTCAAAGTGGAATTGATTCGCACCAGGTATGGGTGGGTATGTGTTGCATCCACATTTCAAGCCCAAAGGGTCTTTCATGTGAGGGGGGGTGATGGAGTATATAACATATTCCTGGGCCTCAACCATCAGCTTAAGCTTTTGGTTGAGATGGTCCACTAACATGGTATCACAGCCTAGATCTTTTTAGAGTTCCACAAGTTTTTTTCTAAAAAGATCCCATCCTTTCTCTTCCGCTACCTTCCTTCTCACGTGGTGATTCCATTACCTCCATCACTGTTTCTTTGTCCACCTAGCCGCAAGATTCTTTCTCAGTGACAAGTTTATTTCTTCTTTAATTTACAATGGCCAAAGATGATGAAAATCCAACCCCACCACCTCCCCCATCTAATGACTATCACCCTGCTAATTCAATTAGCAACATCAAGAATGAGGTTCCCGAAATTCTTGACTGTGACAAAGGGAACTACGGTAGTTGGGTTGAACTTTTTGAGATTCATTGTCACTCATGCAATGTTATCGACCATATTGATCCTAAATCCCCTCGTCCTACGGACCTCACAACGGCGCAGTGGAACCGCCTTGACTCGATTGTGAAAAAGTGGATTTACAATACAATTTCTGCAGATTTACGAAGCATGGTGTTGTACAAGAATGCTACGGCACAGGAAACCTGGGATAGACTTGCTAATATTTTTCAAGATAATGGTGAAATTCGTGCAACTTATCTTGAAAACCAATTTAACAATCTTTTTGTTGAAAATTTTTCAATGTGTCTTCTTACTGTCAGAAATTGAAGGAACTCAAAGATCCACTAGCTAATGTTGGTCAGCCCGTGTCCGAGAGAAATCTTGTTTTACGCCTTTGTGCAGGTTTAATTGACTCAGACTACGATGGAGTGGCTCAATCCATCACCCAAATTCGACCTCTCCCCGGATTTGATGAAGCAAGATCACGTATCTTGTTAGAGGAGTCTCGAAAATCCGCAAAGGAGAACTCCGGGCAGGCTTTTGTTACTCAAACAAGCAACACCACCTCCGCGGCAGCCGCCCAGCAGCAGCAACCGCCACAACAACAAGCCAGGGGTGGTGGTGGCGGTGGACGTGATAGTAGCAGTAGAGGGCGGGGTGGCAAACCCAAGGGAAAAGGCAGGGGTCGTGGCCAGAACCAGCAGCACCAATCGGCCCAAGCCCAGACCACCCCACCCAACACATCAGGCCCAACGCAGCAGCAGTTATGGGCGAGCTTCCAGTAATGGGCTCAGCAGGCAACTTGGGCCAGGCCGCCAGCACCGTTTCCTGTCCAGCAGCACCAGCAGTCCATTCTTGGACAGCCCAGACCCCAGCAGGCCTATACGGCCCAATATGGGCAGCCCATAACTCCCACAGACTTGGCTTCCTCATTCTCCACAATGACACTTCCAAATCCCGATAATCAATGGTACGTGGATTCGGGTGCAACATCTCACATGACGAACAATGCTGGTAACCTCTTACCCCTGTTTAATTTAAGCACTAAAAATCATATTTTAGCTGGTAATGGTCATCGTATTCCAGTAATAGGTTATGGTCATGGCTCCCTTCCCCATCCTAAAACACCTCTTATCCTTCGTGATGTCCTCCTAGCCCCTCAACTCATTAAGAACCTTATTTCAGTTCGTAAATTTACTACTGATAACTCTATGTCTATTGAGTTTGACCCTTTTGGTTTTTCTGTGAAGGACCTTCGTACGGGGAGACTAATAACGAGATGTGATAGTTCTGGGAGATTTATATCCAGTCAGAACCACCAAGTCCACTCCCTCAACCTGTCTTGCTACTACCCTCACTGCTGTTTCCCCTTCTACTTGGCATAGTCGTCTAGGACATCCTGGAGCTCAAGTTTTTAGCTTTCTTAAATCTAAAAATCATATTCATTGTAATAAGGAGCATGGCTCCCAATTTTGCAATTCATGTCAATTAGGAAAACATACTCGCCTTCCCTTTGATAATTCTAATAATGCTACAATTTGTGCCTTTGATATTATACATGCCGATTTATGGACTTCTCCTATTCGTAGTGCTTAGGGTCACAAATACTATCTTGTCTTATTAGATGATCATACTCATTTTGTGTGGACCATTCCATTAAAATACAAATCTCAAGCTTTCCAATCCTTTATAAATTTCCGAAAATATGTTGAAACCCAATTTGAACGTCAAATTAAAAGTTTTCAATGTGATCATGGTAGGGAATTTGATAATGACCCCTTTAAGCAAAAATGTATTGACCATGGGATGCTTTTCCGATTTTCTTATCCACACACTTCTTCACAAAATGGCAAAGCTGAACGTATGATTCGCACTCTTAATAATATTAAGCGTACTATTCTCTTTCATGCGTCTCTCCCCCCCCCCCCCCCTCGTATTGGTTTATGCTCTTGAAACGGCCACATATCTTCTAAATATTTTGCCAACAAAAGCTCTTAAAAACAATACTCCTGCTTTTGCCTTGTTTGGAAAGACTCCTTCGTATGATCACATCCGTGTCTTTGGGTGTCTATGTTTTCCTAATTTATCCGCTACAGCTCCACATAAACTAGCTCCTAGATCAACTCCATGTGTGTTCTTGGGTTATCCTATTGATCATAGAGGGTATAGATGTCTTGATCTCACCACAAATAAAATTCTCATATCGCGTCATGTTACATTTGATGAAGCAACTTTCCCTTTCGGAAATATAGCTCATTACCGTAGTCATGATTATGATTTTTTAGGTGAGGATTCACCATCACCCCACTTGTTGCATCCCTTTCTTCATAGCCCGCAACAAACCAACCCAGACCCACATGGCCCAATTGCCGAGTCTGTCAGCCCACAAGTCTCACCTGCTCAGCAGCCCAGACCCGTGTCGCCAGCCCAGCCCCCGCGTCGCCAACCCAGTCCAGTGTCGCCATCCCAGCAGCACAGACTCACGTCTCATGCCTTGCTTCCCACACCAATGCCCCGTGTCCAGCAGGCTACTCCGCAGGCTGGCTGCGGCAGCCCTGTCACAGCCGCGGTAGCCCGCGGACCCCGCTGCCAACACCTCCCTCGGCCAGCAGCCCCATCACACCCATAGTTGCTTACTCCCCGCCACCTATGCGTGGCATACCGCCCATACAACCCACTCGACCACCACCTCCCTCGCCCCGAGTCACCCGTAGCCAACGGGGTATTTTTAAACCAAACCCGAAATATTGTAACCTCACAGTTCAACCTTCGGGTCCCCACCTTCATAAATCACCACTTCCAAAATCCTATAAACAAGCCTTAAATGACCATAATTGGAATGCGGCGATGATTGATGAATATAGTGCTTTGATTAATACGGGGACATGGGAATTGGTGCCTAAGCCTACGGGGGTGAATATTGTTAATTGTATGTGGTTATTTAAGCATAAATACAAGTCTAATGGTGATCTTGAAAGGCACAAAGCTCGTCTTGTATGTGATGGCAGGTCGCAGGAAATTGGTGTAGATTGTGATGAGACTTTCAGTCCGGTAGTTAAACCGGCCACTATTCGCACTGTTCTCAGTTTAGCTATGGCTTAAAAGTGGTCTATACATCAATTAGATGTCAAAAATGCCTTTTTACATGGTGATTTGCAGGAAACTGTCTACATGCACCAACCTCCAGGATTTCTTGATCAGAGTGCACCCACTCATGTTTGTCGACTCCGCAAGGCTCTCTATGGTTTGAAACAAGCTCCCAGGGCTTGGTACCAACGCTTTGCAAATTTTCTCATTAATTGGGTTTTGTCATTTCTCAGAGTGACAACTCTCTATTTAATTTTCGACAGGGTGATGATATGACATATTTGCTTCTATATGTTGATGATATTATATTAGCTACTTCATCTGACAAGTTACGTGCAGGGATCATTTCTCAGTTACAAACTGAGTTCCCTATGACTGATTTGGGGCCATTGAGTTATTTTCTAGGGATTGCGGTGACTCAAACTCCCTCTTATTTGCTACTTTCACAGGAAAATTATGCACAGGAGATTTTAGAGAGTGCAGGTATGGGCTCATGTAAACCTGCAGCTACTCCAGTTGACACTAAGTCAAAACTTAGTGCAGATGTAGGACCACCGGTTCGGGATCCAACTTTGTATCGCAGTCTAGCAGGTGCTCTACAATATCTCACTTTCACTAGGCCAGATATTGCCTACGCGATACAACAGGTGTGTCTTTTTATGCATGATCCTCTGGAACCTCACTTTGAGGCATTGAAACGCATTCTGAGTTATGTTCAGGGTACCATTGATCCCGGCTTACATTTATATCCGACTGTTTCTCATCGACTTATTACTTACACTAACGCTGACTGGGGAGGTTGTCCCGATACCCGACGTTCCACATCGGGCTATTGTTGTTTCCTTGGGGACAACCTCGTGTCTTGGTCATCTAAGCGTCAACATACTTTGTCTAAGTCGAGTGCAGAAGCAGAATATCGAGGCGTTGCAAATGTTGTCTCAGAGGCATGTTGGCTCCGTAATCTCCTACTTGAGTTACATTGTCCTCTACGGCAGGCTACTATTGTTTATTGTGATAATGTCAGCGCAATTTACCTTTCTGTTAACCCGGTACAACACCAACGCACCAAACATGTGGAGATGGATATTCATTTTGTTCGAGAAAAGGTTGCTTTGGGACAGGTTCGGGTTTTGCATGTTCCTTCCAGATATCAGTTCGCAGACATTTTCACTAAAGGCCTACCACGAGAATTATTTCTGGAATTCAGGTGCAGTCTTAGCGTTCGCCCTCCTCCCGCTACGACTGCGGGGGTGTGATAGATATTATAGGATCATGATAATATTTGTCGCAGAGCTAGGATATATTTGTATATATTTGTGATATAGTTTGTATTCTTATCATACTAGGTTTCCTAACAGGGTTAGGACTAGTATTGTAACACTATATATATTATTCAATGGTACACACTCCAACCCAAGGAGTTTTCTCGAAATCTAACATATTGATTGATGGGTTCGAAAAGGATGACGTTCTCATCAAGGGAGAAAATATCTTAAACACGAGAATTCGTGTAAGAGGAGTAATCAATTGCACGCAGTATTCATTATTTGCGTCCAATACAGAGTTATTGCGAGAGTTCACAATACTAATTATTTTTTTTAAACAACATGAGTCAAGGACTTGCGTGAGATATTGTGCACCAGAGTTCACAGCTTTTGTGTATGAGATTGTGAGAATTAGAATTCACAAATTATTATTATTTTTTTCTAAAATCAATTTTTTAAGTGACTTTGTCGAATTATATTGTTGATCATGGAGAAATATGATGATTTTAATGAAGATGAATAACGTGGCATATATGTTGATCGAGTTCAAGAAGATTATTTTTGTGATTTTCGGTGGATCATTCGATGATTAGCAACTCGATGATGACATGATGCAAATTTTATTTTAATGTCCAAGTCGGATGTTCGAGATCTACACCTCCGATTTGAGGGAGGGTATTGAGATAGGAATTAACATAGATTGTGATATGATATTATGAGAATAATATCATATGAGATATTATTGTGAAAAGATATATGTGAGATATATTCCTAATATAATTATATTAGGAAGATAAGATAATCAGGAATATTAGGGTTAGGTATTCCTATTGTCTATATATATTGTAATGTAGCCGAAGAGAATGAATGGAAAAATACAATGAGAAAATACAGAGAACTATTTCCCCCAATATTTTAACACATTCAAGATTCCACATAGATTGGCTTGTAAACTCAAAGACCTAATTCAAGTGATTGTTCATGTATAACCAACATGTGTGTTTGTAGATTGTTTAAATATGATATAGTTTTATACTGTTATATTTTTCAACTTCTCAATTTTTTTCTTATTTGCCTCTATGAAAAAGTTGGAAACAATATTGTAGTTATGCTTAGATACCTATTTGTTAGATCTAGGAAGGTTATCAAGCTAAGTTTTATTACTAGTTGGTCAAGGATTTGGAAGTAGTTATTTCTACAAAAGAATGTTATGTTTATTGGATCTTTGTTAGGGCCTGTTCTCTTCTGTTGAAATTCAGTTCAGTTCAGCTCTTAATTTACGTCTAATGATATTGCTAATGATATAAAGCCAAATTTCATTCTTTTAAGCTCTTATTACAACGACAACAACAACAACAATAATAATAATAATATTAAAAAAATATATAATAATAATAATAATAATAATAATCAATAAATAATAATAATAAATAATAATCATCAATAATTAATAATAATAATAGTAATAATAATAATATTAATAATAATATGTACATTTGTATATACACATATGTATAGTAATAAATAATCAATAAATAATCAAAGATCACTAATCTGTAGTTAAAAATCACTAATTAATAAGATAAGTTCAGTTCAGTTCAATTCAGTTTAGCTTAGTTCAGTTCAGTTCAGTTCAGTCAATCGGAACAGACCCTTAGTGTAGATTGCACTAAGATATCTTCTTATGTTATCATAAATTGTGTTGCTCAATTTTATTATAATAATGTGATAAATTTTTCTTTTTATAAAATTTCACATCAATTTATCATATCTACGGAGTATATATTATCGTATATCAATGGTGGATGAGTGATCTATGCATGGTTTGGATCCCCTGCCACACTATTCGCAAATTTTGGCATTTTCCCAATACAATGTAATATACTAATATGTGGATATTATTAGTATAATAAAGCTTCCTTATGGTATAAGATAAAGAATTAGAGATAGTATTTATGTATATAACCCCTAATGATATTTGACCTTGTTTGTATACCAATCTAAAATAAGCCATATCATATGATCTAAAAATGAGTAGATCGAAAAATAAAATACATATATATTATACATAAATTAATTTATAAAAATCATAATCAATTACAAGTGTACAACAAAAAATACAATTTCAAATAATATTCGATGTTATCCATTAGAATTCATTTTATATCATAAGATTCTGACTAAAAAATATCTGGGGTGGCCTCCAAGAATTTTCTTACCTGTTACATAGGAAAACTAGAGGCTCTTATAAAACTAGAGGCTCAAATACTATGGGGAAAAAGGGGGCCTCTTTTCCTTCCATTTTCCAAACAAACAACTTTTATTATTTCATATCATTTCATCAAATATTTGCCTTTTTTTTTTGGATTATGGGGGTATATTCCTTATCCACTTTGTTTTTTCATTACCAAAATACATTGTATAATTACACTCGGGCACACTGAAAGTCAAGTGCAATTGAGAGATTTTTACTTTTCTTTTATTTAAAATACACTAGGATGGCTAACATGTGTGATGCACAGAGTATAATTAGCTATGTTCAAGAAGCTTTTTTAATTTAATTTTATGTCAAAAATTTAATTGTTGATAGCATTTATAAGGAAAAATATTGAAACAAACATTTTAAGGTTATAAATATCCGCAAGCTAATTTATGAATTAAAAAAGTTAATATTAAGGAGCGATGGTAAGAAAATAAATGTTTTAAAGGGTATAATTGTTCAAATAATATTTATATAAGAGTAATATCAATAGATATGATCATCGTTTACTTTTTTGGACCATTTTATCGTCCATTTTATCCTTTTTTTTACTATTTGTGCACTTTAAATTACCACAACATGTCATTCATGCTTTAGTACACATTGTTGCTCATAATACTTATTAATATTTCAACTTATTTATTTACTCTTTTTTTTTTCTTTCCAAATGTCCATACTTTTTTATATGTTTAAAATTAATACTGTATAAATTTTTATAAGATTACTTTAATTTATAAAATGTTCATGATAGTTACTTTTTATCTACCCAGGCCACTCAACTTTTCAAACAAAAAGAATCTTCGAATAATGATTTAAAAAAAAAGGGAATATAAGATTATAAGTGTTATAACACTTACGAGATTAATTATTTGTGTAATCAAATCTAAAACATATTGAACTTCTATGAACTACTTATAATACCAATTAGTTGTTGGTGTAGTGATTATTGAGACTACACTTGGTTGGGAGGATTGTATGTTTGATCTCTCACAACAACAATTGGGAGCTTACTAATTAGAACTGATCTTCGAATTCGGATTACTCCAAAGGTGAACCGGGTGGTCAGGTGGAACACCAAAAAATACACTACGCACAGTAGATTAGTAGTACTACATTTCTAAAATTTTAATGAGACAAAAGACAATTTATTTATATACTCCCTATAGAATTTGACAAGAGTATTAATATTGTGAAAGGGAAGTCCAAATTAAACTTGCTTAGATTTGCATGAATAATTAAATTGTTAATATATGTAGTCAACTTCTACAATTAGATAATGTTAAAAATTTAACTCGTCAACTTCATCTTTACACTAACCTTTAATGAAGAGATTTTTTATTTAGTTATTTATTTTATCTTTTAAAGAAAAGACTGGAATACCTTAGGCTTAGATTCTTCTAAATTGGTGGCCTGACCACTATCATTGGATTTAAAAGATTTAAAGGTTATTGGGTTCAATTACTAAACATTTGCTGCAATATTAAACCTTCATTTTATGGGTGGTGCTTATAATCCATTTGTATTCATTCATTTTTGCTTAACTTGTTAATTTTTGCTGCAATATTAAACAAGTACTTTTTATAACAAATTTTTGCTTAACCTGTTAATTTTTATCTAAACTTGTTTTCCCTGATTGTAGAGTGCCAAAATAAAGCAAAGTATTGGTCATTTCAGTTTTAATTGTGACTAATTTGTTTATGCATTTAATTATGAATAATTTAATAGTATGAATAACTTTCTTTACATTTAATTTTCTTAAATTAAAATGCTAATGTATTCTTAATAACCACCCATGTTTAATCATAATGATTTCTTATGTATATATATATGAAAGACACCAGTGCATAAAATCGCCTAAATCGGATTCCTTTCTAGAAAAAAAATCCCTAAATCCGAGAAACTATAACTATTATTCTTAATCTTAGGACTCTAAAATGTTTCCCTCAAGTAGTGAATCCTTGTTTATAGTGATGCACTTAAGTTGTTAGTAATTACCAAAAGTTGTGTAGATGGCTTATTATAGTACAAGTGTATATGTATATTAATAAACTTAATTGGTCAAAATTTTAAAGAGAAAGGTGTATATTAATAGCAGAAGTGTATATGTATATATATATTTTGAAGGGTTTGGTAATGTATATATTGAAACCCATTCATGAGTGTCCCATATTGGAAAAAGAGCAGAGTTATTTCCACTTTATAAGGTAGAGTTGTTATCACCAATTGGTTTTAGTAAAGAATCTCCTTGGCCTTGTTTGTGAGCCAAAACTCTCCTCCTCCTCATTTGGGTTGTCTAACAAAGTGTCAATTTAAGTCTTACGTAAAAAAGGGTTAATTAATCCAAAACTTCTTGTTTCTAAACCGGTAAATCGGTACAAGTTGTAAACCGATAAATTGGTCGTTTAACAGCAAATTGGATGGTTCCACACACCCAATTGGAATCCCGTAGGATATTAAGGACCATAGTAAACATTTTGGCAATTTTTATTTTCGGGCAAAAAAAAGTCAAAAAATTCCAAAATGAGAGGCTAATATCCACGCTTTTTGAGAAAATTTGGAGGTTTCAGGGCCCGGTGTCGAAAAGACTTGAGATTTTAGGGAATACATCTTTGGGGTCATATAATGACGTTTGGAACCATATATGATAATTATATGTTGACATAAATGATCGTGATAGGCTTGATTTAATGAAATCGGTACAAGTTATAAACCGGTAAATATGTCGTTTAAAGGCAAATTAGATGGTTGCACCCACCCAATTGGAATCCCGGAATGTATTAGGGATCATGGTAAACATTTCGGCAATTTTTATTTCTGAAAGAAAAAAAGTAAAAAAAAAAATCCAAAATTAAAGGCTAATATCCACGTTTTTTGAAAAAAAATTGGAGGTTTCGGGGACCAGTGTAG